AAGGTTGATTAATGATAAAGTCTGACTGACATGCAAACCCATCCAAATGCTCTCACTGACTGAGCTAAACAGTTTGCAAATAAACAAGTACAGACTAATTGATGAAAAAGCTCATTATTTTCTCTCTTTATCAGACAATGGAAATAAATGAATGGCATATATTAGTTAAAGACATACCAGGAATTCTGAATTAAACTCTGATGATTCATTATAAATAAAAGGTCTTGAGCTTTCACTGTCTCTGGAATGTTCATAAAAAGTTCATAGCTTATTTTTTAAATATGCTAGAGATACAACAGTATTTTCTGTGTCAAAGTTTGGCTCCAATTTCTAGATTTTCTATTCTTGCATCAACTTTGTACCTCTCCAAATCTCTGTTCCTAAATCCAGAGAAATCTTCCTTCAAGATTTCTCATTGTTTCAGATTTCTTATTTATTTATATGCTGCCCATCTTCTTGGCCACATTCTTTTCTTAATGCTATAATTTAGAATAAACCCTTCAATAGGATTCAATCCAGTGATGGGATTCAATTTTTTTTACTACTGGTTCTGTGGGCTTGTGGGCATGGTATGGCTCTGTGGGTGTGTCTTTGTGGGTGTGGCAGGAAAAGGATACTGTAAAATCCCCATTCCCTCCCCACCCCACTAACTTGCTTTCAAGCTGCGTTCTCCTGTTCAGGGGCTACAAAAGAAGATCAGCCGGGCGGCTGGGAGGTAGCAGGGGCGGGGCCAGCCTATTTGCCTGTTCTCCTAACTACTCAAAATTTCCTCTACTGGTTCTCCAGAACCTGGCAGAATTGGTTGAACCTCTGGTTCAATCCCTTTTTTGTCAATCTATTGACATAAGGTTATAAGAAATTGCCCTTGGCTGGTGAAATTGCTACCAGAAAAATAAAAAAAAATAGGAAACAGTCTTTATTATATATATGGATATGCTTGCATTGTGTATCTGGACAGTTCCTCTATATGGTCACAAGATTTGTATTGACTTTTGAATAATTTCATCATAGATTCAGATCGGGTGATGGTTTTATTTTGCTCATTACTCTGATTTGCATAATTACAATGCTACACATGTAAATAAAATAAGCTTAAGATTTAAGGATCATTATCAAATGAGTTCCTGAGGTTTAATACATATTCATTTCCAAAATCCCATTCAACAAATTCAAAAGAAAATAGTCTTAGCTCTTCTTGGGAATATACAGATTGGCTCTATTTATTGTGTAATTTAATGATGCAGATAGCACAATGAAAGTAGCTGGGTTAAAGGAATCAAATTAATGGCAAACTCTATACAGAAATAGTGTTATCTGTAGAAAACATACAACTTAAATGTTGTAATGGCTTGAATCAAGAATAGAACTTTGCAAACTTACTATTGATGAATTGGAAAATAATATGTTCAAAGAGGGTGAAACTGCTAGTACCTTTTTTCCCTACTTAATAACTATTGATTATGAACTACTTCATTAAGATTAGCAACTGATGCTTTGCTTTGTTTTCATTAATGAACTTACAAGAGTCACAGCCGATAGATAGCAAATTTTAAATTCTTAGAACCTAACAATAAAAAAACTATTAACAAAATAAAATAATGTAAAGGTTCTAGAAAAGGCAGAGAAAATTGACTTAAGATAACAAAACAATAAAAAAGAAGATTCAGGAGACAGAAACAAATATCTTGTTTGTTTGTACACTACACACTTGTGGGTTTCATTCAAACATGACTGAAAAAAATGTATTTTTTTTTTACTTTTTATGTTCTGGGTACATACATACATACATACATACATACATACATACATACCAGAGGTAGTATTCAGCCAGTTCTGACAGGTTCTGGAGAACCAGTAGCGGAAATTTTGAGTAGTTCAGAGAACTGGCAAATAGGCTGGCCCTGCCCTTGCTGCCTCCCAGCTGATCTTCTTTTGTTGCCCTGAACAGGAGAACATAAAAATAACCTTTCCCAGGAGTGGGGAGGGAATTGGGATTTTGCAGTATCCTTCCCCTGCCACGCCCACAAAGCCACACCACACCCACAAAATCACACTCAGAATAGTAAAATAATTTGAATCCCACAACTGATACATACAAGTAAACAATACACAAGCTATCTTCAAATGTTCCTTTGATCAAATGTCATTTAAATACCATCTGGAGGAAAATGTTTCCTGTAGTAATTCATGACATTACTAAAGGCATGTATTGATGTAACTGGAGTGTTATACTTTGTGGTGTACATCAGTTGTGCCCTTTGTTGGACTGACAAGTCCCGCATGCAGTTACTCATACCCTAGTCATCTCCTGGTTGAATTAATGCAATACACTGTATCCTTGAACATTATTCCTAATCTACAACTGGTAAGAAGAACACAGCAGTGCATAAACATCTGAAGGTCCCTTCAGTGGCATAGGTGACAGAACTGCTACACCAGCTGCATTAATTGCCTCAATTCGATTAATAATGTTTTTTTTTTTAAAAAAATAATAATATAATCATTCCATCTTTAGTTGAATAGTGTGTTGTCTGGGCACAAATCTGTTAAACAATAATCAAAATTACAACATCCTTCATTAAATTAATACTGATTTTGCAATTTTTAACATAATAATATTCCACATATTAATGCTACAATGTTAACATAATAATATTTAATATACTAGTCATAATATTTTCTTATCTCTTTATTTTGTTTCCTATTTCTAACTTCCATTTCTATTATTTAAACAATGGTAAAATAGATACCATACCATATAGTATTCATGATTTTCTCTTTCTCCTTAATTGCCAATGTTAATNGGGGGGGGGGCGAGGCGGCAGAGCGCGGCAGCGGTGAGAAGCAACACCCCTGCCACTGTGTCTGACAGGCATCTCGTATTTATGTCCATCATAAACGCGAGACGCCTGTCGGACGTTGCTTCTCGCCGCTGCTGCGCTCTTGCCTCACCAACGGTAACCCTCACCGCACATCACTGGAGCAGTGTAATGTAACAATAGAACACCAAAATGAAACGAGTGCTTTCTTTCAACACTAATTACTTCCCTTTACCCATACTTGCTAAGAAATGAAAACATACTTTTTAAAAATATCTTGAATATGCTTTGAATATTCCTACCTGTAGTAGGAAAATCTAAAAATTTTCTTCACTTTGCTAGAATAAAATAAAATGGATGCATGAATTTATTTTGAAATAAAATAGGTAAGTTCACATCCAACAAGAATTTTTATTTTCTGCTCAAGAGATGTAGATTCTGAGCTCCTGAATGAAATCCTAGCCGAAGAAAAGATGGCTCAAGCCTCATATTGTGTATCACTGAAAAACCTAGTTCTCCAATATGTCAGATAAAAGAGATCTTAGCTTAAAACTTTTATCACTTGAGATCAAAACAAAAATAATTTGCCCTCAAAATATTAAGTTACAATTTGTTTAATATTGCATGTTTTTTGCTTCTGAATATGATCTGCAAATGTTGGCAGTCCTTATAATCTTGAGAAATATAATCAGAGAATATACTTCCATGGATATATATAATTTGAATTTTGTCCACATTCATTGCAGACTACTTAATATCTCTTTTTCCTATTGTCCAAAGCTTCTACTCTGTGTTTTGTTCTGAATTATAGTTTTACAATAGTATGCAATGAGAATGTGTGTATGTGTGCAAATGGTAAGCACATAGAATACCAGGTCTCAGAAATAAAAAAGTCAAAGAGAAAGAATTCGGCTATTATAGTATTTAATAAAAGAATAGAAATAACAGTAGTTTTTGAAATATATTTTCTTGTCCATTTAAAAGCTCATCATTATTTCCAACATATTTAATAAATGCAGATCATAACATAGATTATTCACATATTTTAAACTTAGCGATTATATTAATCATATTGTTATGTAATAATTTGACTTTCTTTGTATTCATAATTATGCCAGCACTTTAGTACAGAAATGTGGATTTAAGGTACAATTATAATTATATTTTAAATGTCTGTGTATATTTGGAATCAAAAGCAGGCTTGACTTTTATTTACACAACTGGACAGATAATTTGTTTGCATGAAATCTTTGTCTTACTCAACAGTTAATTATGACAGAAGTTACTGACCGGGGCAGTAGTACAAAGGGCAAAAGCATTTTCTCAAGCAATAATAAGCATGGTTTTAGCTTAAAATATATTATTTGTGGATATTTTTATGTCACACATAGAATACTGTTGTGACTCAGCAGATATCTGCTGTGAGTCTTTTCGGGATACAAGATTCATTATGCAGCTGGGGCTTGTTAGAGGCAGGTTTGGAGATAAAAGGANTTCTGTTTGTATTCCCCTCCCTTTTGAGTTGTGAGCCGCCCTGAGTCCCTTCAGGGAAAAGGGCGGCATACAAATAAATTAAAATGAAATGAAAAATGAAATGAAATCAGTGAGTTTAGGCTACTTAGCCAGGATTCAGCTTGGAATGAGGCAGCCCTCATGGACACATTTCAGGACGGGTTGTCGGAAGAATTGCAGGATGAGCTGGTGCATGTGGATAGGACACTGACTTTCAACACACTGGTCCATCTGTGTCTCTGGATTGATGCTCGGTTGCAGACGCGGGGAAGTCACCGCACATCCCAGAAGAACAGGGTGGTTCCAGCCATGCGTGAGACTCCAACCCCACGGGAGGACCTCTGTCGATAACGGAGAAAAATAGACGGTGCTTGTGTTTTTATTGTGGGGAACCTGGGCACATGGCAACCTTTTGCCCCAAGAAGAGAAGTGGGGCGTCAGTTACTGGACCTACACCCCCAGCCCCAGAACATTTTGTCGGGAAATGCCCCCAAGCCCGATCTAAGGGACACCTTGGGTCGGGCGCACACCAATGCAGAGCCATGCTCAGAGACAGTGACTTGCGGGCCTCCCCAACACCTGATCCTGGGATCATGAATAATCCTGTCCAATAGTCTGCAGGGGGTTCCAGCGCATGCTCTGGTCAACTCTGGGGCTACCACAAACTTCATGGACGAGGCGTTTGCAACCAAGTATGCAGTCCCTCTGTGTCCAGTAGATCCTCCTATGCTTGTGGAGACCATTGATGGCAGGGTGCTTCTGTCTGGGCCTATCAAGGTTGCCACGCAACCCTTACGCCTGGTCATCGGGGCTCATGAGGAAGCCATCCAGTTCTACGTTACCTCTGGCCTGCATTTCCCCATGGTCTTGGGCTTGGCTTGGCTTCAGGCGCATGATCCACAGATCTACTGGTCCCAGAACCTTGTCACCTTTCCAGCTTTGCAATGTGAGGACCACACCCATCATGTCTGTGCAGGCCAGCTGCTGAGTCCACCCAGGGTGTCCTTGTCTTCCGACATAGCAGATTTTGCAGACGTGTTCAGTGAACAAGAAGCAGACCAATTGCCACCACACCGGCCATATGATTGCCCCATCGATTTGATTCCGGATGCGCTGCTCGCTGTGGGTTATTTGTATTCGATGTCAGACCCGCAGTTGGCCGCATTGCGGGACTTTTTGGACAAAAACCTAGATCGGGGTTTTATCCGACCCTCGTCTTCGCCACTGTCTGCCCCAGTCTTGTTCGTCAAAAAGAAGACTGGAGATTTGAGACTATGGAGCTGGGCAAGGTGGAGTCTTTGCATAGTTGGCAACCTCCTTGGCGAGTGAAGGATGTCCAGCGACTCCTCGGGTTTGCCAACTACTATCGGACCTTTATCCCCGGCTTTGCTTCCCTGACTGTGCCCCTCACTCGGCTCCTTCAGAAAAAAGTTCCATTTCACCATCCGTTTGTAGTGGAGGCGGATGCATCAGATATTGCTGTTGGAGCGGTATTACTTCAGGCTCACGCCTCCGGCGGTACCCTCTTCCCTTGCGCTTATTATTCATGGAAACTCAATTCTTCCGAGCGCAATTATACCATTTGGGAGAAGGAGTTACTAGCCATTAAGGTGGTGTTTGAGGCCTGGAGGCATCATTTAGAGACCTGTCCAGCTGATTTTCAGGTCTCTGCTGCACATGCACAGGGGGCATGTGGGAGATGCATGCGGGGGGACAGGGGGGGTCATGCACGCATGCGTGGGGGCATGACGTGCACATGTGCGGGGGGGTGCACACACACCCTGCGGTCCGTTTTTGGTCCCAGGAGGCTGTAGGAAGACGTACTAGGTCCAAAACAGGGCATGGGGGGGGGGTCACACACACATGCACAGAAGAGGGGGAGCGCAGTGGCAGGGGGAGCATGGGGTCGTGCGTGCGTGCACAGGGGAGTGGGGGGCTGTTGGGCAGCCATTGCATTATTGGTGTGGGCGCATGCACGGGGACTATCACATGTGCATATCTGCACTTTCAGCACACGATGACAAAAAAGTTAGCTATCAATGCTCTATACCATTCTGCACAAATGGCTGTTTGTGTGTGTGTGGGGGGCTGTGGAGCACCCACAACTTCAAAAGGCAAGCTAGTTCTAGGTTGCTTCTCTCCTTAATTAGTTTCCATCCATTGCTTTTTGTCCTGCCTTCAGGTGCTTTGGAAAACAGGTTGACCCACTCATTTTGTGACAGCCCCTCAAATATTGGAACACGGCTATCGTGTCTCCCCTAGTTCTTCTTTTCACTAGACTAGACATACACAATTCCTGCAACTGTTCTTCACATGTTTTAGTCTCCAATCCCCTAATCATATCTTATGCCTCAGATATGAATAGAATTTGAGACTAGAAATGAAAGGCATGGCAGAATAGGATGCAGATCTTTTTCCCCACTGATCTAAAATTTAGGTAAGGTGTGGAGTGTTTGTATCTGCAGAAGTGTCCCTGTTGTCTTTGGGAACTACAGCTCACAAATGTCTCACCTAGTATGATCAACATATTTGTAGACACAATAGAAGAAAGTTAAGGGCCTGTCTCCATTCAGTTCCTGTGGTGGACTTGTCTCCAAAGTCCCTCCTTTGGGCTGGAAATCATTTCAGAGATCACCATGCAGAAAATACAGTTGTGTCCAGAATTGGCTCTGTGATTTAGATTTAAATCAGAATTTAATAACTGCTGTTTGGCCATATATTGAAAAAATAAAACAATGGTCTTTAGTGATTGGTGTTGGTATCTGTGGGTTATTGCCAAAGTTGAAAAATCTGCTCTTTGGAGGAGTATGAAAGAATCAGGAGACGCCAAAGGGTTAATGGAACGATCTCCCCGTCGAGATACGCACCCTCACCACCGTCCACGCCTTCCGCGCAGCCCTCAAGACCTGGCTCTCCCAACAGGCCTGGGGATAAGTCTCTAATTTGCCCCACCCGAGTGTTGAATGTTGAATGCAAGTTGTGTTTTTATTACTTTATTTGTTTTTATATTGTTTATTTTGATTTGCACCCCCTCCCTGGTGATTGTAAGCCGCCCTGAGTCCCCTCAGGGAAAAGGGCGGCCTATAAACCCTAATAAAAAAAAAAAAAAAAAAAAAAAGAAACGACACATACCGGTAATTAAACTTCAGAATTTGCTACCCTGAGATCTGAAGCTGGCAAGCAACCAGGCTGGCTTCAAGAATGTAATAAGGGTTAACTGAGAGGCAGTTTCTCTAAGCAGGGCAATAAAGATTAGGCTACAAACAACACCAGAATGTTTCTTTCCTGCCTTCCTTACAGGATTAACCCTGTAAAGTGGAAAAAAACAAAAGGACATGTCTTCTAACAACTGGTTAGGCCGAAAATCAGCTGAGGGCTGCCGTGCTGGCAAATATGGCTCCACGTGCCACCTGTAGCACGCGTGCCATAGGTTCGCCATCACGGAAATAGACTATGAGGATAGCCTTTGGTAGAAGTAACAGGGATGTCATGTGTGATCATATACAGTTAGTCCTTGACTTATAACCATAATGGAGCCTGCCCATTACAGTACAGGTAGTCCTCGACTTACAACAGTTCACTTAGTGACCATTCAAAGTTACAGCAGCACTGAAAACAGTGAGTTATGACCATTTTTGCACTTATGACCATTGCAACATCTCCATGATCACGTGATTTACATTAGGATGCTTGACAATTGACTCATATTTACGAATGTTGCAGTGTCCTGGGATCATGTGCTCACCTTTTGCGACCTTCTGGCAAGCAAAGTCAATGAGGAAACCAGATTCACTTAACAACTGTGTTACTAATGTAATTACTGCAGTGATTCAAATGTGGCAAGAAAAGTCATAAAATGGGACAAAACTCACTTAGCAAATTTCCACTTAGCAACATAAATTTTGGGCTCAATTATGGTCATAAGTTGAGAAGTACCTTTAGTAAGTCTTGAAAATTGTAAAGCAGATCACCCATGTGGCCGATCTGATTTTATTACTTTTCTTTGCAGCAGGTGTTAAGTGACTGCCACAGTCATGAAGCAAATCCATTGTTTGCTATGGTGCACTTTTGCAAAAACCAGAAGTAAATGCTGGGTTTGGCAAAAAGTGCATAAATCAGTCATGGGACTGCAGGGTGTTACAAATGGCAATAAATGTGTATTGTTGCCACACCGAAATGTGGTTGTGACAATGGGAAGGGGTGGCTGGCAGAACTTTGAAAGTGGCTGTAAGTACCTTTTGAGGGTTCTGTCCTAACTTTGAATGGTCACCGAGTGACCAGTCGTAAGTCAAGGAACATCTGTGATAATGCACGTAACATCATTTGTGTCAACCTGAGATAGACCAGACTCAATCACCAAAGTCATGGATGCTAAAAGTACTTTTATTTTTACAGGGTTTCAGTAACAGAATCCTGCAATGTGCTTCCACCTTTTCTGTCTTTATCCTGAAGATAATTTCAGAGGATCAACTCTGAAATGCTTTCTCAAATTACATTTCTGCTTTGGGCTCAGATTTCTTTTTTCTGACCGTTGTCGTGGCTGTAGCCCTTCCTCACAGCCCACCTTCTCCATCCACTCTCATCAGCCATTTCCTTACGTGCAGGTGAAACAGATGAGAAGTGGTCAGTGGCCATCAGAATGGTCCTCTTTGAGCATCCAAGCCCTTAAAACAAGGAATCGATATTCCCTTTCCTCTTAAGCAATTGCAGGAGACTTATCCTTAGTAATTCAGAGTTACTGGAAACCTTATTTACTTGCATCTGATTCAGTCATTGTTTTCTGGATTGCTGTGAAATCAAGAGCATGGTAGAATATCTTATTCTTCATACAGGCATTCTTTTTATGAATGGATCTGTCTCCCACTCAACTCCTTCAGAATAATTATTTGTTGGTGTGTGTGTGTATGTGTGCATTTCTTCCTCTAGATTAGGACAGTGCTTGTGTCTTTTCTAAATCTTGAAGATTGACATAGAGCAGAGATGGTGAACCTTTTTTGGCTGCTGTGTCAAAAGTGGGGGGAGCACAGGGGTGTGTGTGTTGTGCACCGGCATGCCACACCCATAATGCTATGCATGCAAACCCCCGTGCGCACGCATGCGCGTGACCAGCAACTCCCTCCCCCCTGCTTTTGCCGTGGTTTTTTTGCCCTCCCCAGGCTCCAGAGGCTTTCCAGGACCCTGGGGAGGGCAAAAACAGCCTCCCCCCTGCCCCAGATGCCCTCCGGAGGTTTCAGGAGCTTCCCTGAAGCCTCTGGAGGGTGAAAACTGGCCCTATGAACAAACCAGAAGTCATCATTCCCGAACTTCCAGGTTCCCCATAGGTCCATTTTTCGCCCTCCGGAGCCTTCAGGAGGCTTCCCCGAAGGCTCCAGAGGGTGAAAACCGGCCCTACGAGCATACCGGAATTCCGTTCCCGAACTTCCGGTTTGCCTGTAGGCTAGTTTTTCACACCCTACGGCCTCAAAAGAAGGCTGAAGTCAGCTGGTCAGCGCTCGCATGTGTGCTGGCCAGCTCACAGGGCAACGCCTCACGTGCCCTGACAAATGGCTCCATGTGCCACCTGTGGCACGCATGCCATAGGTTCACCATCACTGACATAGAGCCACCAATGAGAACATAATTAAGAACTTCCATATTCTGCACCAGTTTACTTTTGATTAAAAGATTTCAATCAATCAGAATACAGCTGGAAGGGACCTTGGAGGTCCTCTAGTCCAACTCCCTGCTCAAACAGGAGACCCTACCTATACAATTTGAGACAAGTGACTGTCCAGTCTCTTCTTAAAACCTTCCAGTGATGAAGCACCCACATGTTCTGAAGGCAAGCTGTTCCACTGGTTAATTGTAGGGAGGAGGAACCGACCAAGTGGTTCCGCCCCAGGCGACTTATGGACCCCT